CCGGCCCCGCGCTACCCTGCGCCAAAGCCATAGGGGACGCGGGGCCGGAGGGCGGGAAGCGCGCGCGCCGGGAGCGCACGGGCAGCGCGGTTCGCAAAGGGCGCAGCGAGGGCTCCGCGCTGAGCCGGACCGCGTTTGTGTGGAAATCCTTGGACTCGCTTAAGGGAAACATACCAGTGATCCGAGTGTCAAAATGGGTTTTTTGTAGGGTTTTGGGGGAGCATCTTCTTTTGTCGCTTTTGTTTCGTAGTTCCTGTTTTTGGCAGACCCATTTCAGTGCAGGAGTCCAGGGAAGGGGATGGCAGGAGGGAGCGCGTCCGTGCGGCGTGGAGCAGCAATGTCCGCCCGTCCCCTTTAGAGCGGCCGGCGCGCGCGGCGCGGCGCGGTGAGGAGCGTCCGGGCGGGCGCGGGGGCCTCGCCACCCCTCGGCCACGGCATCGGCACCCTGCTTCGGAGCGGCCCATCTTTCTGTTTTGGAAGTGTACAGTAGTGCAGTGTTACCGATGTAACTTTGACTTACAATGTTGACATGTCTCAGGTTCATGTGTTTTTGATTGGTGTTTTCCGTCTCAGGTAGATTGCAAAATTTTGGCCCCACACATTGGAGGAAAAAAATTTAAAAAACGGAAGAAAAAAAAACAGGAAATTACGAATTTTAGTTGTATATTGGTTTATGTATTTTTTCTTCAGTATACAGTGCACTGTTTGAAATGTATTGTTGAGTATTACTTTGTACAGCTTTAGATCATTAGGATTTTAAAGTGTGTGAAGAAAGAACAACCTTGTTTCCGGGAATATGACGAGCGAGGGATGCGCAGCCGATGCTAAACAACCTTGTTCTTTGTTCACCCGACCTTTTTCTTTTTTCCCCTTAGGTCAGTTCTGTTTTAAGGTGTCCATGGACGATGTTGCAGTGTAAGAAAATACATATCCATATGTTCCCATTCACATTTTGTATTGGTTCATGTATACCATTTTTACAAAGGAAAAAAGAAGTACTATAAAGTATCTGTCTTCTTAATAAAAAAAGTTAATGTTACAAAGCTCCTTGGCCCTGTCGTTTGCCGCGCGCGTGTCCCCGTGGGCTTCGCCCTCCGCGTCTCCTCTCAAGGGGTCTTTTCGGAGCCCCGCGGGAGCCTCTGGCCGCTCGTTGCCCTTCCTTCGTGCAGGGGGACGTGCTCGGTGGCAGCCAGCGACCTGTCCCTCTCAACCCCACAGCCTGTTTTCCCCCAACTCTAGGTAGCCGCAGGGCAACACAACATTCCCGTTTCCTCACGGTAAGTAAGTGTTCTGCCGGAGGGACGCGTGCTTCCCAAGCACAGAGCAGAGCCCGTTCTCCTGGAGAGCAGGCGGCGCGCGGGCC